TAAAATTATTCATTAAAATAATGGATAATGATCTCTAGTCTCACGAATGTGTTGTATCAAAGGCATTTTTTACTTTACTAGTCTTTTAGAGTAAATTATTTATATTTGGTAAAGTAACTTACTTTACAAGGTTTATTACTATTATTATTGTAATTGTATTTTTGCTAAAGGAAACATAATTGTTTGTAGGAGAGATGTCTCATTCTAAAAAGCTAAAAGATTGACAAAAAAAAAAAAGAACTAAAATTATGAACTTTGAATATGACATATCATGAATTAAGATTAACATCTTTTTATCTAAAAATTGTACAATCCATCCATTAACTTAAGCAAATCAATCTATTTCAAAGTCTTGATCTCTTGTATTGTACAAATTATCAGTAAATTTCTCAAAACAACTTTTTAAACTCATAAGCCTTGAGATCAATATGAGGTTAGAAGTATAATTATGCATATACAACACATTCGTGAGTGATTTGTTTAATATCACAAATCCAAAGTATTATGTAATAATTATGTTGCTCTTTTGGTAAGCTAACATAAGTCAAACTAGGGGTGTTCACAGGTTTTGTTAATCCGATGAACTTGACCAATCTTACCCAACCCAATTAAAAATTAACAAGTTGGTTCGGGTAGACAAGGTCACTTTGGGTAAAAAAAATATTGAAACCCAATGAAATACGAGTTGGGTCGCATGCTTGTAATGTTAAAACTCAATTCAATCTAATTGACTCAATGACCTGTTGCACACGGGTCTTTTCTCTATTAACTCTGCATTATTTTGATTTCTTCTCAGTTTGTTATGAGTGAAGAATTGAATATTAATAGGTAATTTAATTTTTCAATTTTTAAATGTTGTCTATTGCTTTAAGTTGTAGGATGAATATTGAACTTTGTACTTTATAATTTATAAGAGATTGTCAAAGTTTATTTTTTTTATTTGGATTACTTTAATTCCTTTATTTTTGATGAATAGTAAACTATTGGTACTATATTATGTTTTAGAATGAATAATTTCTCATTTGGTTTTAATATATTTGTTATTTGAGATGTTGGATAAGGTTATCAATTATATAAAAAAATTTAATTTTTTTATACAATACTTTAGGTGCTAACTTGACTAACCAATCCAACTTAACTCATTGTGGTCAAGTCAATTCTAGTCGGATAAAGACATTTTTTAACCAAAATCAACACAATCGAGTTCATAAAATTTTGATCAGGTTGAGTCATTTTTATATCAAAACCCACCAACCCAACCTATGACCACCCCTAAGTTGAACAATGTTAAAAAAAGGGTTAACTTGAAAAGGTACAAAAGTTTCACAAATTTATCATGTCTTGTACTGTAAACTAAAGTAACAACATCAAGTACTGTCTTATTTTAGGTTGTGATAGCCAGCTTCATAAAAATGAAGTAATGTCTTATTTTGCATATTAGTTAGAGGCCTAGCAATACTTCCATACCCTTTGACAAATCTTCTATAGTATCCAACTAGCCTAAGAAATCCTCTCAGTTGCTTAAGTGTCCTTGGCATTGGCCAATTCTGCACAGTCATGATTTTAGCAAGATCTATGACAACCCTTTCCTTTGAAATAAAGTGGTCTAAGTATTCTACCCTTTCCACTCTAAAATAGCACTTGGATCTTTTAGCAAACAAAGAATGAGATCTCATGGTCATCAAAACTAGCTATAAATGTTGTAAATGATCCTCCAAATCATTGTTATAGATCAATATATCATCAAAGAATACAAGTAAAATTTCCTTAGAAATTCCTTAAAAGCATCATTCATTAGCCCTTGAAATGTGGCAAGGGTATTAGTTAACCCAAAGGACATTACTAAATATTCAAAGTGGCCCGCATGAGTTTTAAAGGTTGTTTTGTGCACATTAGCCTCATCCATCCTTACTTGATTGTAACCAGCCCTTAAATCAATCTTAGTGAATATATTTGACCAATGAAGCTCATCTAAAAGATCATCCACTAGAGGAATAGGAAATTTGTCTTTCACAGTTTGCTTATTAATTTCTTTATAGTCAACATACAATCTCCAAGAACCATCTTTCTTCTCCACTAAAACCACTGGGATAGCATAAGAGTTGTTGTTGTTTTGAATAATTTCACTCTTAAGATACTCCTACACCAACTCATCAATTATATCTTTTTTTCTGTTTTACATATCTGTAAGGTCTTTTATTAAACCAAAGGAATTTTATGATCATGACCTTCCTTCTTAGGTGGTAAACTGACTAGTTCTTGAAAAACATCTTCAAATTATAACAGTAACTTCTCAATAGAAACATTTCCTTCATCTGAAGAAACATGAGTGGTTAAGAATTGTCACAATATACCATCCTTCTGATCACAAAACTCAAGGATGAACAAATAAACTCCAGATGCAATTGTTTTACCCAGCTGCTTTCTTCTCGCAGTCTTAAGTCCTTCATTTGAAGCACCTCTCAATACAAACTTTCTTAAACAAAAAACTACATTGTCAATTTATCAAAGTTCCAAGTGATATCCTCCAAGGTGACTAACCATTCTATTCCCAACACCGGATCACAACATCCCAAGGGAATCAACAACATATTAGAACTAAATGCTCAACCTTGTATAGACTAAGAAAATTATCTCACCATAGAGGCTATATTGACCTTTGGTCCATCTGGTACTACTACACTTATTGGTGACATCTCTTCAATTAAGTATCTCATTTTCTTAGCTATATTCACATTTAAGAAATTGTGAGTACTACCACTACTAATGAGAATATGTAATGATTTTTTCTTATAGTACCCTATGACTCTCAGTTTTAAAATTGGCTATACTCGTAAGTGCATTTACTGATATATAACGATCCACAGAATCTGTCCTTTCAACACTTTCTTCTTCAATTAATTCTTCTTCATCCCCTTCTGACATCTCATGATCATTTACCTCCAATACATAGATTTGCTGCTTTTTATGTGTTAAAGCATGAGCAGGGGTAAAAGATTCATCACAAAAGTAATAAAAACCCTTGGCTCTTCTCTCACTCATAAAAGCAGGTGTAAGGTTCTTATAGGCTTGTGTATTGGTTTATGTTTGATTTTTTATAGGTACAGGTTGATTTTCTAATGGTTTAGCCGGAATATTTGAATAAATAAGCTGAGACACGGTATTATTTTTAGGAAATTTTGAGAAAGTTTTAGGTGTATAACTAGTTCTTGCAACAGAGTCATATAACTTTGCTAATTGAAAAGCTTTCCTCACATTTATTGGTTGAAACATTCTAACAATCATTTGAATATCTTGTTATAATCCTTCCAAAAAATAGCTAAGCATATATTCTTCAGATAACTCCAATCTAGAGACAATTGCATCAAACTGCTCATGGTAATCAACAATAGTTCCTTTCTGCCTAAGTTTCATAAGATTTGCTATAGGATCATCACTCTTCTCCAAATCTTTTAATTAAAATTTTAGTAAATTCCAACCAAGAAGGTAAACTAATAATAGGAGAATTTTCACCACAGACGTGTGCCACTGTAATGTTTTTCTTTCAAAATGAATCACTACTAACTTTGTTTTAACATCCTCAGGTGTTCCATTAATAGCAAAATATGTTTCACATTGATAAATTCATTGTTTCAGTGAATCTCGATTAAAACAGGGAAAATCAATTTGCGCTAACCTCGTGCCACAAGAATAAGTGGAAGAAGTACGTTCATTCCATGGAATTGCTCTAGCTATTAGTGAATCTGATCCTGCCACGTGCTTCCTTAGACATTCTTGAACTTGTTCATCTATTGATGAATCCATGGTTTGCCTTAAGGTTGTCGTAACCTCCAGAAATCTTGCTTTCAATCGTGTTGCTACTTGGTTATTCAATTGTTCTTCTTATTCGCGCAATGTTGCCTAAGTTCTTGTTGCTTCAGCCATGAACGTCGTTGGAAGGTGCCAGGCTGAAAATCTAATTAAAGAATAACTAACTGATTTATTTAGGAATAATAGAAATGACAGAATTTAGATACCCAGTTAAGTATGATTCATTTACAAAGTCTTATATCACATATCTCTGTTAGCAAGTGAAGTTTTATATTCTATTTCACTTTAAAGCCCTTAGAAAAAAAAATAAGAGTTTTAAAGACATAAAAAATCTAATCTTATATAAGTATGTAAAGTTTAGTTGTTAGTTTCTTTCTTTCTTTTTTTTTTAATTGTTGGTGATTGATTAATTTAATTTTCTATTCAATGATATTTTTTGAATTTTTAAGAATGTGTTTGGATATAGCTTTATTAAACGCTTATTTATTTAAAAGATAATTTATATTATAAATTTAATTATAATAAGCTAAAAAGAGCTTATATTAATAAGTTAATAGTTAAAAATTAATTGAGAGAAGTTAAAAAAAAAAAATAACCATAAAGTTCAAACTATTTTCATAAGCTCTGTAAAATTCTTAATTCTAAAACATTCAGAATACTCTCACTCTCTCTCTCTCCTCTTTTCCTCTGTCTCTGTTCCAAATTTTCTTTTGATGTTGTACCTTGGTTCCATAACATCTAGGCTTCTAGCTAAATTTCTCACCGCACAACATGCCACTTTTGCTAATTATCTTATAGTGCTTGGATGGTCTATTTTTATGTCTGTAGTTTTACGAGTGTGTGAAGCTTGATCAAATACTGATATCATTTCAATGTAAGTAGCAAAGAAAACTTTTTCAGTGTGAATATTTACTAGTATTACAAGTCTGATTCCCATGCAAGTTAAAATAAGGAGTTGAATCGTAAAATTCCACGATTTTACCATTTGGGAGGGTTGAACGATTCAAATCGCAGCAAAAATCGTATTGAAATCGGGAGTTAAAACAGTAAAATCGGAATTTCAAAACGATTTCATGAAACCCAATTTTGGATCTGAATCTTGGAACAGTTGGATCTTAACCCCATTGATATGGCCCAATTTCGAATGACCTGATTTAAATTGTTGTTTGAACCCTAAGTAGCTGAGTCCTAACTGTGTTGAGTCTCCTTTTTTTACTTTCTTGCTTGGACTGTAGTTGACATTGGCGAGCTCAAGCAGTCTAACGGTGGGCGACCTGATCTGCACCTGAGTCAGCAGGGTGCAGCTGCTGCTTCTCCCACTGTGACTGTGTCTTCTGGGCGATCTTCGGCACGGTATTTTGGTGTTTTCTTCTGTTCCAATTTTTTTCTGTTCTTCTCTTTGCTTCTGTTCTCATCTTTCTCTGTTTTGCTCTTCTTGTTAGAAGGCACACTTGAAGTGCCAGCAGCACTGGAGTTGCCAACACCATTGCTCTGTTATCCATGACACACTTATGGAATATATTATGATATCAATGCAAGTTCTTTAAGTGTTTTTGGTGATTTTTTTTTCTAATTGATAGGAATAACAAGAATTTATATGCATGTATATATGCTAATTTATTTACGATTTTGATCCTTCTTTACTATTTGAAGTAAAATCCTGATTTTAACTATCTTGCTGATTCCAGTTTCTTTTCAAATACTTTACTGATTCTCTATTTTGTATTTATCTTTGATTTTTCTTACTTCATGCACATTTCTGGAACCTTCAATGTTACTATGCCTCAATGAACAATTCGTACAGAATCATGGTCTACTCTATCAGTGCACGTTTTGTATTTTTACTGATACTTCGAACCAACAATTTTCTAGTCCATACATTTAAATTTTCTGTTTGGTATAAATTACTACATTGTTCTCCCTGTAAATTCTAGTGTTTATTTTCTCAAGCTCAGTGTGAGGCTGCTGCCCTGATCTGGAGTTTGATCAACTGCCCCTAATTGACTTTGAAGAATGAGTGAGCTTCTTCTTTTTGATGACATCTTTAAGGTTGAGGATGTAGATCCTGATGGTAAAAGGTATGACAAAGGTATGTTCACCTCATTTTTCTTTTACTGTTTTTTTTAAACTGGATTTGAGTATGGGTGCTTTGGATATGCAAAGTATAAAGCAGCACCTTCTGACTTGAAGGTTGTTTTAGTATAATAAATCATTAGGTGCTATGGCTCTATTCTGTATACTTTTAGCACTGCTGTAGTTTTGACTAGAATTTTGCTTTATTATTATTTGAAGTCATAATCAGTTTGCAGATGAATAAATAAAATGTTAAGCATTGTTGGTTGAGGAATTATCATGTATGAGTAAATTAGAGCAGATGTTGAGTTGATGTTATATAAGCAAATTAAGGAAAAATTAAGTTTTGCTTTTGCTCCAAGAGTTAATTGCACTTACTGATATAAATAATTATGGACCTAGAAAAAGTCAAGTATTTGACTATGAAAACATCCACTACATAGGATGCAGATTTGACGGTCCATTGTAGAAATCATCAATTCAATTCAATTCAATTTAGTTTTAGCAAGGCTGCAAGGTTGTGTTATATAAATTGTAAGTTATTTTGTTCTTCGGATGCACTTTAGATAGATATTAAATCCCTGTGGATTGTGACTTCCTTGACCACATTTAGTGATATAGCCTTGTCATATTGTGTTTGTATGTGTGCTTTTCCCCTCTTAAGATTCCTTTGAATTAATCAAGTGGTCAGTGGGCATGAACTTTACAGTTTCATGGCTTTCTGCTTGTAGTTTCACGGATTGTTGCACGGAGTGAGAAGTGTGACATGTACATGCTTCTAGATGTAAATACAGAGATTTATCCGATGAGAAAAAATGAAAGATTCTTGATGACTTTGTCTCCTTCACTTGTTTTGAAGACTAAGGTAAACTTAATTCATGTATGTTTTCCGTGCTTTACTTTGGCTATAGACAATATCAACATAGTTCTCTTCTTTACTCAGTAAGTTATTTATACCTCTTTAATAATCCAACTCTAATATAATATTAATATAAGCTGTATTGTCTGCATGAGTTATCCACTTGATCATTTGTGGTCCTGGTCCTGGCAAAAATAAACCATGCTTGCAGTCACTTGCTCCTGTACACTATGTAGCTGTTACTTTCTAATGTTTCTAACAATTCTTGTCCTTTACTTATTGTTGATACATTGGATTTGAAAATTTGGAAAAACTTTTACCAGAATGTAGCTTGCTTTTATTTAGTAGCATGGGCTGGCTATGGTAAATTTGTCTTCCATACATTGATATATAGAAGTTTATTTTGTATGTGAAGAAAGGTCCAAAAGACTGTGTGTCACAGTTGGGACTTAGGATAATATTTGTTGTGTTATCTATGATAAAGATATCTGTTGTAGTAGTTTGAACTTTGGATGAATTATATTTATCTCAAAACTAGTGGATATTGCTTTTACACTGAATTGATTTCTGTCCAGGATGGCCCTGTGTCAATTCAAGATAAGTTTGAATACATCATGCACGGAAGATTATATAACATTACGAATGAGGGATGTTCAAAATCTCAACTTGAAGTGTACCTAAACATTTCCCGTGTTTTACTCCATTTTGTTCTCATCAGAAATATCACCTGGGAATCTAGGATGACCAAAACCCTAATTTACATGACAAATTAAGCTACCAGACCAGTAGCTTAGCCATTTGCAAGTGTTATGTTTCTCTGCTTTTATCATGGAGCTTGGGGAGAATATAGTTTAGATTTAGCTTAGTGGAATCATAAATTCGCAAAGCAATATGGTGCGAGTTGATGGTTCCTCAGGACAGGAATAATCTCTTTGCAATTTCTATGATATTGGGAATAAATACTGGCTAAATTAGTAGATTGATTCCTTCGCTCAGTCCTTTTCATTTTAGTATTTTAAATAAGTTGACAAAAACGTTAATTCTATTAAGAATTATTGTTCGTCTTCTTTCTCTTCCTTTTATAACTTTACTGTTCCTCTTTTTCTTCATCTTAAACATTAACCTTCTTGGTTCAACTGCATCTCCTACACTTTCCCTGAAGCGGCATGCAGTAGATCCTAAGTATCCCTTGCAGAAGAGAGCTTGCAAACCCCGTTGGGGCTCCCCTGGCTTGACCCTTTGCCACACCCACACCCCACACCCACTTCCAATACCACAGTTTGGATTGTGGAGAACCAGACACCAACCGACCTTGTAATAAATATCCAAACACAAAATCCAAAAACATCAACGGGAGAACATAGCTCAAAAGAAGGGAAATAACTGTAGTAGAACTCAGAAGGGAACAAAACAGCGCCGTTGCATTGTTTGTGTTCAAAGGTGGACACTGTGTCGAAGGGTGTCACAGTAGCGGCAACGGTGGCAAGAAACTGTGGCAGCAATCAGAACTCCTCGTCATCCAAGTTCTCGACCATGGAAATAAAAAAAGAAAAGAAAGAAAACTTCAAAGAGATTTTTTGTACCTTGGGAAAAGGGAAAGAGAGTGTAAAAAACAAAGATGAACAACAATTTTTGAAAGAGTTCACGTTTGTTACGAAAAAAAAAGAAACCAACCCGAAAAAAACAGAGTTAATAAGATTTTGTCTTCCACAGTTCTACCTTTAAGTTTAAACTTTTGTTCTTGAGATTGGTAAATTTTTTGACTAAGTTCTTTTGTCCTGCTTCAGGGAGATATATGCTTCTTTTGGTGGGCTTCAGTTGATGCTGAGGGGACATGCTTCCCATTGTGTTAAGTTTGTAATCGATCAGAAGTTGTTTTTGCTACTAAGGAAGCTTGAAAGTTGAAACTGCTGATTTATGTTGGTGATGGGTGAAAAGATAAAGATGCTATCATTAAGTTTTAAGTAATTACATATTTATGATATTGGATAAATAATCTGTGTTGATTTTTTGGACAAATTAATTTTTTGTTTTAAATATTTCTCCAAAATTCATTTTTTGGGCCAATTATTTAGATAAATAAATTTTGGGTATGAGATTAACATAAAATTCGGAAAGTTAAAATTATTTAGATATTCATATCTGTTTATTAAACTAATATTTTTTTCATGAGATTGAATTTTTATTTTTAAAATCAATAAATAAAAAATTTCAGAAGTTAAAATTATTTAAATCTTCACGTTTCTCAAACTATTTGTTTTTTCATGAGGGATTGAATTTTTCTTTTCAAAATTAATTTCTTTTATTGATTATGCATATAATTCTCCTTTTCCCTTGGTTTAGTGCTTTTTTTTTTTGAGAAATAATTTAAAAAATCTGACATGAAAAAAAATACATAGACTAGGGTTGAGTCGGATAGTTTAAATTAACAACCTTGTTGTAATAAAATTACATAGATTTAGGGTTGAGTAGCTCAAATTGACATCTCTAAGCATGTTGCTTAAGTTTAACCAATAATTTGAAGTGACTGTTTTGAATACTTAAAAAAAAAATTGTCACCCATAATAATTTTTTACTCCATTTGATTAAAAAAATATTTTTTCATAAAAATTACTTATAATTAAAAATAAAAACTCAAATCTCATCACCAAACCTCCATATGTCATTCATAATGTTTTGCAAGCCAACTTCTCTTTTCTGAATAGGTTTTAACTTGAGTAACTTGATTTATTTATATTAGTTTATAATATTGATTAATGTTGAACTTGTTTTATAACACTTGAGTTTATTTAGACTTAACTTTGATCAATTACCTTGAATTGACCTTAAGTTTTAATTTGAAGTCATATATCTTGCTTTTATTTATTGTAAGTACTTATATCACTTTTTCTTGAAATTTAGAAGTTTTATCTTTTATTTTTATTCATTGAACTCTTCTTGACCTTTTAAGTCTTATCCTTTTATATATATATATATATATATATATATATATATATATATATTGATTTTAAAAGTTTATTTTAATGCAAATAGTATGAATAAAGTATAAAGTCGATATACAATTTTAAGAAGATAATAAAAAAGTATTGAAACTTACAGAAATTGATATCAAATCTTGTATTAATGATCAAAAGCTATTATAAAGTTGGTGAAGTTTGATACAAAATATTGAAAAGAAAATTAATACAAAGCTCAAAAAACAGTTTCAAAACTTGAGAGAAAATGTATATGGCTTAGATTGGCTATTTTCTGCCAATATCTCTTTTTGTTTCATAATCAATATTATATGGAAATTTTTCATCCTGTAGAGAGATTTTTTCTTATCTCTTTAGTCTACTTTTACTATTTTTCGATTGTTGTTTGTTTGTCATGCTTTAATTAAAGTTATTACCAACATTGCTTTTTAATGTTTAACATATTCATGTTTGTACGAAGATGCTTTTTTTTATCTTGTCTTGTACTCCTTTTATTGTCGGACTTATCTATATTCATATGGGGTAAGAATCCCATAGCAATCATCCTCATTGCCATATCCGAAATCTTCTATGTTGTCTAGTGAATTTAGACTAGGATTACTTTGTATTTCCTCTTTTTTTTTTTTTATTTTGCATTTGATATTGCAATTATACCTTTGGAGATAGTGTTTGAATTATTTTGTTGAACTCTTCTTTAGTTCCTGTAGCACTAAGGTTGGCCAAAAGTCTAGAGTTTTGTTGATATTTTTCTCTAATAATTTTGAATTGGTTAAACTTAGAGAGGCTAATAGGGTTGTGTTTGGAATTTTTAGAAATGTTTGTAACCATTGATCAATTTTTTATTTTTAGAGGAAGTTAAGATCAAATTTACTCCACCATTTAACTTTTATCACTATTACTAATAATTGGACTAAAGATTGTTCTGCTAGTTTTGTGGAATCATATTCCTATATCACAATTCAAGAAATTCCTTAGCTTGCTATAAATGATATGAACTGGTATTCTTGAGTGAAATTTGTCTTACTGGTAAAATATTGTAAATTGTTTTTGCTTCTCCTGATAATATGGAGATTATTGGTCCAAAGTCATAGAACCAACAGCAAAATCATTTACAAAATCTAAGAAAAATTTCTTTTCTAAACCAGATAAGCCATGAATGTATAGCTAATAAAGAATGTTTCTCCATGCACTAATATAAACAAAATAATTGTATTGTTTTAGCTGATAATCTATTGTAAAACTCTTGTAATGATAGAGAGGTTGTCCTCAATCTCATATTGTCAGAATATTATTAATTTTAAATTTTAAAAATATTATTTCTTATGTTTTTGAATCTTTTTGGTGGGTAAGTTCTATTGATTGTGTAGCCACCAATATGATTTCATAAAACTCTTTTTTTGTTATGAAGAAGTTGGTACAAAATGAAAGTTTAGAGGAAATATTTTTTTAGCAATTTTTTATCTTGGTAAAGAAAACCATTCTGATTTTGTTGGTAAAATAGGGATACAATCTGGTTTTTCAACATATGGTATTTCGAGTGATTTTGTAGGATTTGGAAAGGTTAATATTGTAAATTTATTGGAGGTATCTGTTATTATTTCTTTGGGAGTAATGGAATTGGTCTTTGGAGGGCCTGTAGAGTTGTCATTACTCTTTTTCCTTATAGTTCAGTAGGTAGTTGTGGTTGTTTTGGTTTAACTAGTTTTGGAGGTCCATAACTGATGCTAGTAATTCTAGATATTTTTCTCCCTGCAGAAACTCTCTTGAAAGATAGTAAAGTAAAAAGTTCTTATTTCCTTTTATATGTATTATATGAAAATCGAAGTTTGACTTGTCATCGAACCAAAATATGTTTTGAAACTAAATTTTTAACGTCTTTTTGTAAAACTTGTAGTGTTGTTTTGCAATCTGTTTTTATTAAAAATCTTTTATTAAAAAGATCATCTTGAAATATTTGTAAACAAAGCACTATAGGTAATATTTCTTTTTTAATAGTTGAGAATTTTTTTATTGTTGAATGTCATATCCCTAAATGATATCTTACTACTTGCTTCTTATTTGTTCTAGGAAGAACTTATTTTAAGATTCCTCCATATCCTAAATCAGAAGCATTAAATTTTACTATTAAGGCAGCGTCAGGGTTTGGTATTCCTAAGCATGTAAGGGTTTTCACTAAAGCTTTTACCCTTTGTACTATAATAGTCATCTCCTCATCCCAAGTTATTGGGATTTTTCTTAGCCTTTTATATAAAAGGGCACATATTGTCCTAATATTTGGAACAAAGTCTGAAATGTAATTTAAACATCCTAAGAACCTTTGTAATTGAGTTTTATCTTTTATTTGTTCTGAAAAATTTATTGGTGAATTCTAAAGATCTTTGTATAACTATAATTGTTCTTTGACATATTTCGTATCTAAGAAATCTAGTTTTATCTTAAAATATCTTCATCTTTTTAGTTGATACATCTAGTTTTATTTAAATGTTTAATATATTGTTGTAAATCTTTTTTTAAAAAAAATAAGCACATTGTCAAGATATACTATCAAGAATTCTATATAAGGCTAGAAAATGTTATTCATAATTTCTTGGAATTCACTAGGACATTATAGTCCATTCATAATGTCCAAAAGGAACTACAAGGTTGTTTTACATCTATCCTATTCTCTTACTGATATTTGATAATTTCTTAATTTTATGTCAAACTTTGAGAAAATATTAGCATGAACCAATCTTTTGACTAAATCTTGTCTATTAGGTATTGAATATCTAATCCATTTCAAAACTTTATTAAGAGATTTGTAATTTATTATTAATATATGAGCTCTGCATTCTTATTCAAAAGTTTTATTAACATAAAACCTTGTACAATTTCAAGGAGATTTAAAGGACTAGTTAATTTTCTTTTTTAAATAGTCTTATAATTCTTGTTTATCGTATTGCAATTGTTCTTCATTCATTCGTATCGGCCTGACTTTTATTGGAATGTCTTTTTCATTAAACATGACTTCATAAGGTAAACTTACTTCATATTATTTTCTAGAATGGAAAGCTATTGGATTTGTTTCACAAATTTCTTTCTCTATTATTTACTCAATCTTTTATAATTTTTTTATATTTTTAAATTTTTAAGTTGTTCAATTTTCTTATAATGTATTTCTTCATTAATCATTTTTATTTGGTTTTGTTTTTTCTTCTATTAAATTTATTTTAGAAAGAAGATTTAGTTCTCTAATTTTAGGAGCCTGTATGAAATTAAAGTTTATTGCCTGATTTTTTATTACATTACTTATAATCCCTTCATTTGTTATATTACATGGATATATTAATGTTAAGAATGATGTTCCTAATATCATTTGATTAGTCATGTTTTTTAATAAATCAAAAGAGGTTACAAAACATATTTTATTTTTACAAATTTTTCTTTTTGATAACTTATATTGTATATATATTTTAGATCCATTAGCAAAGGATAATTTTTATGTTGTCTTTTCATAATACCTTGTGGGAATTAATCATTCTTGTATACAATTAATATCAACTATAATTTTTCTATTATCTTTTCATAATACTTTGTGGGAATTAATCCTTCTTGTATATAATTAATATCAACTCCTTAATTTATTAAAACTATCATATTGAATTTTTCTCCTTTTACTACTAAGATAACTTCGCACCAACATTTATGAGTTGTTACCAATATTAATAATTTTATATTAAATATTTTTGGTTCTTTTTCTATATCATTTTTTGTTTGTCTTCTTACTAGATTTTTTCTTTCTAATTCTCGTAATTTAAATTCTAAAGTTATTTTATTTTGTCTTAATTCTATTACAACTATAATATAAATATTTTGATATTTTAAATTTATGAGCTTATTTTTATAAATTTTTATTTTTTTTTCTAACTCAATAACGTGAGACTTGCTCTCCAATATATGTTATGCTAATTAGATTAAATGATACCTGATTTGAATGATGATATGATACAAAAGATTACTAGTGTAGCACTCTAAATATTAGGGATGTTCGCAAATTGGATTGGATCAATTTTTGGACAAAATATAATCTAATTCAATCATAAAACTATAATGAAGTTTGTTTTGGATCAAATTTTTTAAAAAATAAATTTAATTTGATCCATCTTCTTTTGAGTGCTTTAAAACTAATGTGGACAATAGTTATAAGATAAATTATATGGATTGTGGTAGGGTTATACGAGACTGTAATAATAAATGACTAACGATGTTTACTTCTTTTAATGATAATCAATTTGTTTTTTTGTGTTAAATTAAAAATAATTTTTTGGAGTTACCACTTAACTTTAGAATCTAATTGCTTAGAAGTAGAAAAATTTATTCTAACAAAATCAAGATTAGTTTCTCTATAAAGTATTTTTTATTTTGCAGGATATTCACCAAGCTTTTATTATATACTTATATGTCGTGTTATTCATGAGGTTAACAAAATAACTTATTTGATACTTTTATTATATATTCATTTCATCTTCTAGATAATCATTTTTCAATATAATTTCTAGACTTCTAGTTCTAGATAATTTACATATTTTGTGTTTGTATTTTTTTTTTTACCAAAAAAAAATGACTAGATTGAATAATTCACTTTTTATAATCATTTCTTCTATACTATTTTGAAATAAAATATAATATTATCTAAAATAATATGATATACAAAAATAATTTTAAATTATTCTAAAAAATATACCGATAAAGTCATGAAAACAATAAAATGTATTCCTAAAATATAATAATACGGTATAAACTTAAAATAAAACCATCACAAATAATTAAGTTCTTATAATTTTATCAATATATAATCTTAAAAGTACGGTATGCTAGATTGGATTGCTTGATGAAACACTCGTACCAAAAGTAGTACTAAATATTAGTGATCTTTTATAAATAAACATTTATTTATTTATTTTATCAATAAATATGAAATAGTTCAAAAGAATAAGCTTAGTTTTAATGAATAAATTATTTTAAGTTAACCAAAATATAAAAAATAACTTGCAATCTAAAATGTATTAATAGAGAAAATTATAAGAGAATGTATTTATTATATTTTTTAATTAATTTTTATTTTTAGTTCTTTAAAGAGACATAGCAACATTTGCCAATTAAATAAAGTTAAACAAAATTCTTAATTTAACTGAACTAATTTTTTTTCCTATAAAGGAGTGGGAAGGGAATACTTCTTCCGTGTTTTCTCTTGTACGTACGCCAACACCTGCGATGTAGTGGGAGTAAACTAGCAGCAGTAGCTTGTTTCCAAAGCCAACAAAGCTTTCTTCGTTCTATTCGTTGATACCCAAAAATCATGATTTGGGTTGATGGAGTCCCTTTCTCTACCCATTCATCCTCTCAGCCTCAGGTGCCCCTTTTCTCTCTTTTCTTCTTAATTTTTTTAATGTTATTAATTTGCTATATATCATTATGGGCATTTTTATTTTCTTTGCATTACACAATCTTGCTTTTAAATTTAGCTTCTTCTTTTTTTTTTTTTAATTAATCAGTGTAGTGAAGGGTTTTCAAATGTCAATGGCTAACTTGATTGAGAAGAAGCATAAGCATATAAGAAAAGTGAAGCGGAGAGCCATTTCTTTAGGACCTCTTCGAAGTGATTGTTAGATTGTTCTAAAACTAGTTTTCATTTTTATAATTCTGTTTTTTTTTTGTTTTTTTTTTTTTGTAATTTTGATATTTTAATACAAAATTTTATTGCATATCACTCACATTTGGATTCTTTTTGGTGATGAGGATGGTAGTGGACTGGTTGGGTAACTGCAAACGTAATGGTGGTCGTGGTGGCTGCGGTGGCTACAGTGACAGGAATGATGACTGGTGGGTGGGGGCAGTAGCATGTAGATATTTTTTAGAGAGATAAAGGAAATTGAATGATTTACTACTAACAACTAAAAACCAAAACTACTTTTTTTTTAATTTTTTGAATTGAGTTAGAAGTATTTCACGATTGACATAAAAATCAATTCAGCTCCATTTTAGTTGATAATGTTTTATTTTGAAATTTACATTTAAAAACTAAAACCTGAAACTTACAACTATACCAAACACGAACTTATCTTAATCTTCTTTAGCAATTGTCTGTATTGTTTATTGGATGAATGGGGCAAGTTTGTGGCCATTTTATTTTAAATTATATTTGGACTAGCTTTTATATTTAAGTATGTGATTGATTCTATTAGTTTTTCTGAGAACAATTTCCAAGATGCAAAAAGTTGAAGGGACATATCAATTTCGTGTGCAGAGTTGTCACTTGACGTTCTACACTTAGGACCTCTTGTATACAAATTGCAATGTACTTCACTAAATAAATGATGCTAACTTAATCCTCCAAGGAAAGCAATTATAGAAAGCATGTAATCATAGAACTTGTACTCATGCTACGTGTCAATGATAGCTCATGGAAAAATGCACAATCTTGTGTTGTGAGTTATTGTTTTCATGATTACAAATGAGGGCTTTTTATGCATGAATTTGATTTTGGAACCATCCAATAGACACATGAAAGGGCTGAAATTCTGTGCTTCTGAACAGGGAAAGGATATTCTACTTGCTTTGTTGGAAAATCCCATTCTGGTATCTGTCTCAAGGTCTTTGAAGGCTAACCCAGAGAGGAAGTTCTCAGTGTCTGATGAGTCTGGTCCAGAGAGATCAAAATGGGTTTATATATTCCAGAGAGAATATGCTACTGTTGACCCCGCACTTGTTGATGTGTGTAACTTTTTAACACTTTGTAATGTCATTAAGCTAATATCTATTGACTATTGCTTCAAACGTAAACATTTCCTTTCTACTTCAGCATAGTTTAAGAGAAAACTCATGTCAATTTGTAAATTTCATTTTAAATTAGTTAATATTTCATTGTTGTATGCAACTAATAATCTTTTGCATGCATGCAATTCATACTTAATTGAAGTGTAAGTGACTCATCTTTGGAATTTGTGTTTCCTGTTCTGCATATTACATGGGTTCATCATTGCATCCCATCCTGTCTATATTTCGCCTTATGTATTTCTTTGATCCTTTTATTTTATTTGAGCGCCCGTTGGCCTTCCTTTCTGTTAGAGAAACTGAAACAAAAAATATGAACAAAATCTGTTAAAACTTTCTTTAAAATATGTTGATTTAATTTATGTTTCTAATTTAATTAAATCAATAACTCCATGCCATTACTGTTTTAATAATATGTAGAATTAGAAAATCTACCAGTATGACTGCTGGTCTATATTTCAATTGATTATGCTGAGTTTTATGGTTCTTTTTTATCATGGTATTCATGTCACTTTTATCATGGTATTCATGTCACTTTTTTTCCCTCCCCTTATCACTAGTTTGTTGGCACTGATGAAGCAACAACATGTGTTGGCCTAGTTATTCGGAACCAAAGGAATGGAATGTAAGGATTAAGGATTTGTTATTATATTAAGTTTTACAAATGTTCCTTCTACCAGATGTTTAATTTCTGATTTATATTATTTTTTTTATTTGACACCGCAGGACATCAGTTGCTCATATGGATTCACCAAAAATTGTAGAAATGGGCCTCTCTCAAATGTTATCATCACATGTTGACGACAGCTTGGAAGCTGAGTTGGATGTGCTTTTCCTTCTCTTTATTTGTACTTTCTATAATATTTTTGTCATCCATATATTTATGACTCCTTTTTGGCATACATATTTTTTGGAATGAAAAGTTTTCTTTCTCCAAAATTGTAGGTGCATCTAATTGGGGGTTTTGAAGATGTTTCACTGCAAGTCTGGCCAGGGTCTTCTGCTTTGTTTGTGAATTTTCAATATGTAGTTTCCATTCAGAGACAGAATAATTGTAGTTGGATCTGTTGAACTTTTGTGCAGCATGCTAATGGTAGCACTGTATCAGAGAGCCCTGCAGATTTGGGTCGTTATTCCTTTCCCTTGTGTTCAAAGATTGTTCAAACTTTATGGTCAAGAGAGGAGAAGTTTCACATCCGGACTATCTGTGTTCTTGGACATAATACCAAAAGAGATTCTGATGAAAACACGTACCCCTTTTTCAATGGATTTGTGGTTAGCTCCTGCTTTAGAATCTTGTCATTATATCTGGTTCATTTGCAATATGTGATAAATCTCTTACATACCATTGCTTTAAAATATATATACCTAATTAAGGAATTATTGGTCTTAGGGTGGATTAGAGAAGGAGAAATTAAAGAAAGATGGCTACTAGTAACAAACAGAAAATATAATTGATAGCATTGTTACGATACCTTAACCTGATACTTCTATTATTACAAGTTGTTACGGACAAGCATAACCCCACTAACAATAAGACTAAACGTACAAACCCTAATCAAAATCTGAAACAACTCTTATATTTCTTCCTTAGTTACATAACTATCTGACTCCATAATTTTTTCTAAACATGTTCAAAGATAATCTTAAGATATCCTAAATATTCATCAGACCAGTAAAGCTATCCTACATCAGCTAGAAATATGGCTAAAATACTTCTTATAAGGTTTAAACAATTCTTCTCCTATAAACTAGCTTTTAGAAGGGAGTTAGACTCAATTTTCTAATATGGTGGTATCAATGCCGTACTAGTTTGACTGACGGGCCCTTGAATATGGCTAGTTCTACAAATTTTATGTACCTGATGTCAATCCTGGATATGAAGTGGTATATTAAAGATGTCTCGCATTGGGAAAAGAATATGACCTAAATATTCCTTATAAAGTTTAGGCAATCCTCTCCTTATGAGCTAGCTTTTAAGACTGAGTTTAGTTTTTAATAATAGCAATTGTGCATAAAGCATATGGAGCTGGTTTTATTCTATGTTAGCTTTACCTGCATCTGCATTACTATCTTAAGAGACTCACTGTGTTCCCTCATTTTAAGATTTTGTATAAGGTCTAGAGGCATAATTTGTTTGAATCTTTGATGTGAAACTTAATGAAATATATATTCACGGATATGCTCATAGATATTTATTTCTACCACAAGTGGATCTGTTTGGATGTATTAACCATTAATTAACACACTTTTTTATTTTTAAAAAGTATCTTGACCTTGAGTTAGATAAAACCACAACTGACACTTCTGGAATGCATATTGATATTGGGTAAGAATTTAGTGGTACAAGTGTCACTTTCTCTTATGTTTAAAATTACACACTAATATAGGGTGGTAACTGTACCTATTATCATGATACATATTTGGTTTCAACAGTTAGGCAAAAGCTGTTGTACTCTTTTTTGGTGAATAGTACGTGCATATTCAAACTGTTAAATGGGGTTTTTAACTTCTTACATCTCATGCACCATTTCAGGTGGAGACTAGAAGAGGAATTATCATCCCAGCAAATTTTGATAGAACTTCTAGATGCCCAGATGAAATTGTCAGAAGAATACGAGTATCTGCTGCTTATGAAGATGAAAATTGGAATGGAAAGTTACTAGAGACATATGATGGCAGCATTGACTGTTTCAAAATTGCTCCTTGTCGCTGGTAACAAGTGAATTTTCATGAATTTATCTTGAAACCCTACATGTAAAAAATGGCTCCCAATGAAGAAAATAAAATAAAAAAATAGAGAAACTCCATTAAAATGATATTGTTTCTTAAGTAAGGTTATGTCAACCATTGAATTTTAGTAGGTTAAGATTTCTATATACTTCCAATTTAGAAGCCTTATAAAGGAATAAATTGCAAAGCATATTGGTGAAAATCATTTCTTATTGGGAAGTGATGAATTATATTATTCTCTGGTTGACAGTCTTCTCATTCTGGTATACTGATGCTTCTTGGCCCCTTCGTAATTAGGACTATTAGCCAGTATCATATGGCTTTGTCTCTTCAGCATTATTCTGATTCAGAAATTCTTTCAATCTGTTCTACATCACCTACTACTGAGGCCCCAGATTTTGTGGATAATTTAAGAAGGTAAACATATGGTTGATTATGATTTTAAATGTTTCAAGCTATTATGTTATTTGAAAATTCATTGTTGTCTTAAAATGATGAATGGCAGACAGTTTTTTGAATCATTATTTTATATATCTTTTGTAATTCTTTATATATAAATATAAATATTCTAAGGGTGAAATGCTACCTAAATAGTCTTGCATACCTAGTTGAGCAGTCTAATTTTTACTTTTAGTTTCTCCGAAGAAAAGAAAAATCTTGTAGCTGCAGCTGGTAAGGCTGGTTTCCCTTCATTACTCTAATTTTGACTGTAGAAAATCAAACCCTTTCCTTTATTTGCCTTGGTTATTCCTCATTCTCATTTCTCTTCAATGATGATGAAATTCAAGCTTTTGGATTGGAGTCTCTTCTCTGATATATTCTGTGCAAGAAGTGCATGATTACAATCTTTTTGAAGAAGTGAAATATATTCTATGATATATTCCTCATTTTTTTAAGATTAAAATCATTTGCTCTCTTCTACGTATATATAAATAGACTCCGAGATTGATATATTAATCTATGTGCAGCCCATTATTTACTAGAACTTCATATTTGCATGAATATCATGAGATAATCACATTTCCCATCTTCAGGCAGTGGAAATATTTGATTGAGCATCCACACTGGACTGACACCTTTCCCAAGAAGCAGCCTCGCACTTTTGCTAGGAGTTCTGATGGAAGGTGGAGAAGTTGTTGATGACATTAGATTGGGCAAATCCTCTTAAATAATTAGATTGCCTTATTATATTGGTCATCTCTGATTGAATGTTTCATTTGTCATTATAGCTATAAGTTATCAAATTGCAGTCTCAACTGGTTTAGATTGTCTTTGCTTTAAACTACTATGGTGTGTAATTAGCATTTTCTGGGAAAATTTCTGCTAAGACACCAGTAGGAATATGGTTGTGCCAGAAGAACCCAGAAACTGAGAAAGGGAACATAAATTTTTACCTTACGATGGTATAGCCACGTGAAGGCTCCTTGGAATCAATTTGTACTAGTTAACTACATGATACAATGGTATAATGACGGTATTTCTTATGTGTACAGTGAATGTGTTATCTATCTATCATTTATGCTGAAATTCATTTGCATCTGTTATGTATAAAAATTATTTGAATTAGACTTTTGATCAAAGCCTCTTTCGATCAAAATATTATGTTAAAATTAATGCAGGACTATGTAAGTCAACTTAAGTCATGTTTCGAGAGACAATGATAATTAAATTAAGTATCAAACACACACTAAATTTGAATTAACAATGATAAAAATGGGAGTTTTGAGGTTGATTGGGTATTATAAATTAAAAATTCAGAACAAAATGAATGAATTAAAAATATGACTAACAAATCAATTTTCCACTTGATTAAACAAAGTCATAATAGGTTAATACTTTTTAAATATGAATTTGTTTTTACTTTTAGTTTAATTTAATATGATCAAATAAGCACTAATTAAATTAGAAAAATGTTTCTTAATCTTAATTCAATTATCATTAGTTAAATTTCATTCAAACTCATACAAGAAATTAAAATAACTCAAATAATTTTTAATTCTAATTCTAATTTGTAAAATTAATCGTTATTGTGATTAGAAATTCTTGTTAATTATGTATTAAGAGTAAGAGTGAAATTTGAATATCATAAAGCATACAAGAAAAGTAAAAATAAGAGATAAAGTAGATTTAAGTTCAATTAAGAAAAAAAACCTAATTCAACTATTAAAATTGAACTAGGGAATCAATTCTTCCATGTTTAGGTCTTCAAATATAGAGAGATAAACTAGAGAAGGAGAGCACAAACACGAACAACAAAAACATATCAGAACTAATTCTCAAATTCAAACCTTAATTTTAAAAAATAATCAACAAAATTCAAATGTAATTCAAAAATATAAAGGAGAGAAAAAATAGGCCTAATAAAATTGCAATCTAATGATATTCACATGTAGTTACAATGGTTCTGTCCAAGTAATACCTTTTAGCTCCATAATTTATTTATTTTTAAAATAATCCATTAAACTGAAGTCTTAAAAAATAGCTTTCAATCAAACAAAAGTTACATCAAAACTCGACATATAATTTAAGATATCGTTGAAATAGTAAATATAAATTAAAGAGGTTAAAAATTCAAAATTAAAATATTTTAATCATTTAAATCTAATTAAATTTTTTTCAATAAATACAGCCAATTCAAAGTTATTAAATATTAATATCATATAATTATTTCACACTATAACTTATTAAATGTGATTAAAATATAATTTATCAACTTCCATACTCAAATTATCGAGAGAACTTTCAATTCAGGACTCTAAAGTTTTTTTTTTTTTTTTTTTTTCAGCATACTTAATGTTATAAGTATTATTATATTATAATTTTGACAAATTGGGCTACCAAATAAGCATTTCAAAAATTTACATCGTCACCGCATTCATTTTGCATAGATTGTCACTAAATTAACTATTTATAGATTTAATTTATATCTTTAAATTAGTCTAAAAAATTTAGTTTTTTCACCACTTTAATCACTTATTGACCTAATTTTACATGAGTAATAATTTCACAAGCGGTATCCTTAGTTGCTAGATATGTATATATGTGGGACTAGCCCAAAGGTTCGGAAACTAAAGTCCTTACTTTGAACCTCGAAAAAAATAATTTGATAAATAATATTAGTTTATCAAGAGTAATTAAATAATTCTCATTATAAAAAAATAAAAAAAACCCTCTCATCCTATGATTTAACTCTTCTAAAATAAAGAGTTAGAAACAATAATTAAAAATTAATAGTTAAAATTATAATTAAGTGCATGCGCATGTATAATTTCAATTGGTAAATTTTACACTTTATACTCTGAAATGACACTTTAAAAAACATATGATATTATCTTATCTTTTTAATTTTTTTGAAAGAAGAAAGTTAAAAAGGTCTATCGCATCATTATATAATATTATAATAGATAGTTATATATTGGGTTGGAGCCACTGTTATTTTTTTTTTATGTTCAGTTCATGTTTTAGTGTTTAACTACTACTTTAAGTTGTTGGCTGTAATTTTTTTAATCATTTCTATATGAAACTATTTATTAATTTGTTACAAGATTGACTAAAACAATGAATTTTTGTAGAGTTCTTTTTGTAACATTTTGTTCTTTACCAGTATTTTAAGTTGCTTTATCTATTAATTTAGAATCCTATTTTATAGGTGTAAATTATCTTAGAACTTAAAAGTTAATATCAGTCTTACTTACCTATCTTATCATATACTTAAAATAACAAGTATTGAATAAAAAAGTTAATATTTCTGATGAACTGAAAAAAAAAACAGATTAAAACTATTATATACTATTAATTTTTAAGGGTAAATTAATAAAATTTTAATAAAATCAATAATATCTCAAAAAGACATTAATAGTGCATTGGGATAAACACTAAACATTTTCATTAAACACTTATTCAATAAGCTTTTATTTCACGAGACTTTTATGACATGAATGTGATAATGAAACTAATTAAAACAAGCTAAAACTAACACATTTTAATAAGCTATATCAAATTAAAACAAACTATAAAATGTTTAAAGCAGTCATAAGTTACATATTTTTCCTAAAATTTTCAAAAATTCTTTCAAATGCTCCCTAAATAGATTTATTTTATTAACAAATAAAAAATATTGAATAAATTTGATTACGTTACTTTAATGAAAAGTTTAAATACTAAAAATTTTGAAGGATCCTAACCTAATGTTAGCTTTATTTTAGGCTTCTGTTTGTGTCCATGCTTGAATCCTTTACTCGGATTTTAGTTAACTTGAAATAGTCTTTCATTATGCAGCTAATGACTACGTGTTATCTACGGGTGCTCATCGATCGGTTTTGGTCGGATTCAGGTGCAAATGACTCGATTCATTTGCAACTAAAGGTAGCAATTTATCACCTTCGTTTGATGTGGGCTTCAGATTTGTTGGGTGATTGAGATAGGTTCTTTGGGTTGGCGACTGGGTTGGAGCAGATTGGAAAACAAGTTTTGACTTTTGAGCTTGATTTCGACATCGAGAGGGAGAGAATCATTGTAAAAAATTTCCGTCCACCCATGTCAGTGTCAAACTCATCTTCCTTGGTAAAATTATCGTTCGTATGCATGGAGATCCTCCACATGAGTGTGATATCTTGGACATTGACGAGGAGAAAGAATGATTGCCGGTGTAACGAGACATATACAAAGAAGTAACTCATGAGACACTTTCTTTCAGGGAAAAAGACACATAAATGAATCAAATATACACCGAAAGAAGAGGAATCTAATGCCTATATAATTAACAGACTATACAATTAAAGATAATTTTTATCTATATTAAAAACTACATTTATTTACTTTTCATAAGTTAAGTTCTTTTTCAAGAGTACTTGATCTAATTTAATGATATGTGACGTCCCAAACACTAATAAAGGTGGAGAGTGATTGTCCGGGCAATGAGGTATGAATAAGGAAAGATTTCAGAGAAGAGACATATAAATGAATTGAATATATACGGAAACTAAAGGGATCCAAAGTCTATATAAGTATGAGACTATACAGTTGATGATAACATAAAAAAAATTAATTAAGACTACATTTACAAACAAAATACATTTACTTTTTGGTAGCTTATCACATAAGAACAATTTAGATTTGTATTTGATGAGTTCATTAGGACAAGGACTAAACATTAAATATAAACATCTTTTCCTATGTCCCATGAGTGGATAGGGTGAAGTGTTGAGATAGTATACTCTGAAAAAAAAAAAGTATAAGGACTTCCTTGTGCCACAAGACAAAAATAAAAAATAGGCATCCAATAAAGTGGGTAAGTGTTTAGTGTTAATTCAATTTTTGATGAATGAAAATTAAAAGAACCAAATTCCACTATCTTAATATGATTAACTTATATTTTCACTTACCCAAAATTGTGACTAAGCTTGATCTAATTTGAAATTAAATTTTAACTTTCAATTTCCTCAAGTTAAGGTGGATCACAAAATTTAGCTGTTTGGCAAAAACTAATAAACACAAAAGATTTTATAATACTAATATCAATGATGAAAAATCAATAAAAAGTAAAATATAAAATTTAAATGAAGAAACTGTTCAAAGAAATCCAATTCTTAATTATAAAGATTTATAAATACAATTATTAAACTTAAGTAAAAATCTTGTAAAATTTTTTAAATATAATAAAATTTTATGATCAAACTATATGGGCATTGTGTGAAGATTTACTTGGAGCAATTCCTAATGAGAGAAGTATAAAAAGATTTTTCATAAATCTATAGTGGTTCACAGATACATTTGGAGTATTACCTTACAATGCTGATGAACATACTATTATCCGTTATACTAGTGCATACATAATGGTTCTATTTGATGGGGTATTGTTTCCAGATAAATCAAGATTCAGTGTTCATACGAAGTGACTACCTCTTTTAATTGATTTTACTAGAATTTTAAACTATAGTTAGGGTTCTACTGTTCTAGCATCCCTTTATCGTGAGCATTGTCATGTAGTGAAATATAATGTCATTGATATTATAAGTTGTTTGCCTCTTCTAAAGTCTTGGACATGGTACAAAATACCTAAGCTAGCCTCTAGGCACCATCATCCTCTCACTTTTCCACTAGCATTGAGGTACATTTATTTGTAAATATATTAATTTTTATTATTTATATATGTTAAATTTACAAGTAAAAACTAATTATGTTTATTTCAAGTGGAAAAGCTTTAGGTCATCCACGAAATTAGACACAAATAAGTTATTGCGATATAGGAGGATCATTTGCATTACTGAGGTAAGT